AGATCTCCATTTCATTATTAAAATACACAGTTTCATACAGAAAAATTCATTTTTAATGCAATTGACACTAAGATGTTTGTACATGTGTTTCTAATCTCTATATATCTGATATTACTAGTCATAGTTGGTTACTTTCTGAGCTCCTTGGCATCTGAGCATGGATATAGAGCCATCAGGTAGATTTCAATGGTAATGTTTTTCTCATCTACTAATTTTTAAGGAGCAAATTTTTATGCTTTGAAGAATTACTTTTTAGTTTTTAAAGCAGAGGAAGGATACATCTCTTTCAAAAGTGGCTGTAAATTTTTAGGTTCACAGTTGAATTAATATAGTTATACACTATTGAACTCAGTATAAACCCTGTAAAATATAAAATTGAGTGAGTTTTTACCCTTTAAAGAAGACCTCCATTTCCAGATCTGCTGTTTCCTACATTTTTTAATATTATTTTTTATATTTTTTAGAAGAAGCATGTCCTTACAGCTTTAACATGCCCAATAACAGTTTCCAGAGCAAAGAGACAGCTCCTTAAAAAGTGGCTATAAAATTTCTAGGTTCGCTGTTGAATCAATACAGTTATATAATATTGAACTCAGTATAAGCCCTGTAAGACATAAAATTGAATGAGTTTTTAACCCTCAAAAGAGATCTCCATTTCATTCTAAAAAATACTGTTTCTTACAGAAAGACTCATTGTTTCTGCTACTAACACTGAGATGTTGGCACATTCGTCTCTAATCTGCATGTATCTCATTATTGCTTACTAGTCATAATCCTTTGCACTGGATACTTGGCACCTGTGTATGTCTATAAAGTCATTGAGTAGATTTCAATGGTAATGTTCATCACCTCTACTAATTAACATGACATAAATTTTTATGCTTCTTCCTCAAATATACATTTTTTAAAAATTTGTTGATTTGTTTTTTCTGTGTGTGTATATCACACAGAACATCCCAAACCATCTTATTCAACTATACGCCCATTTCCCAGATGGCACCCTCCCATAACCTCCGTCCCCCCACTAGAGCCCTTATACGCTTTTATTCCTGCTACTGTCCACTATGTTGTTGACACCCCCAGCTGTTCTCCACTACTTGTCTATCTGGTGAATCTAGTTAGCCTATCTAGAGGTCTTTGTTTTAGGAAGGTCAGCTGTTTTGCATCTAGCAGCAGTCACTTGTCAATATTCCCTTAGATAAGAATGGGGTCTGCTGTTTATTTTCCCAGTTCTATGCTGGGTTACAATCTGGGAGTCCCTTGGGCCACCTCAGAAGGTATCGCCTATCTGGCATTGTTGCTTGTTATATAGCCTTTAGCTATACATATAGACTCTTAAAAAATTATATTGGCCCTTTTAATCTTTGGTCATACTTTCCTTTTGGGTATTTAAGGCCATACAGTTGGCCCAGATAAACCAATTTATTTTTACTCTTAAGGTCATTTGAGGATCTGTTCCTCAGGGGTCACATGGGCTTGGGAGGAGCCCCTGGCTCCTTTGTTTTACCAGTTCTGCCTATGTGAAGATAAGTTGTAGGCCTGCTCAACCATGGCTGGCTTCGCTTGGAAGCATGGAGGAAATGATTCCTCTGTGTTGACCCTCCTCTTTGTAGACTGGACACTGGTTCATGTCCATCTTGTGGGGTCTCCTTGGCTTCCTTGATCAAGAGGACAGGTGACCCACCACAATTACAGGACATTTTGGGAGATGCTCTTACTCTCCTGGATCTAGTTGACCTAGGAGGGCAAGGAGCAAAAACTGTCCTTTATGTCCCTCCGACCAAATTAGTATAGGCCTCAAAGTATGTCTGTTAAACATCTAAGAAGGTTAGTTCCACCAATATGTACTTGAATTACTGTGTGCCATGTAGATAAATCTTGTGCCAAGACCAAATTGTTCTCAGATAAACCTTACCTAGACATACAATTCTTGATCTGGTATGTATAATTTGTCAGTAGGTTGTTGGATTAATATGGTTCCCTCTGGTTTTTAAAACTAGCTAGGCATTATTTATCACTCCCATTGTCTAACCCCTCCATCATGATTTCCCCAATTAAGGTGCCCCCATTTTCCCCTTTTTCCCTTAATATTACCCCTCTCCTATGGTCCTATCTCTCTTTGAGCTCCTTCTTTCCCTTTTTTTCCCCTAGATTCCTTGTATGTCCTTCCCTCCCCCTCCCTTAAACTATCCCAATTTTTATCCATATCACCCTTATTAATGCCTGCTTCCTACTGTTCTTCTCTTTCAGGTTCATTCTTTTCCTTTACCTCCCAGGTTCCTTTCCATTATTCTGGTTCTTATGGTTATGTCTGGATACATACTCACTTATCAGGATTTGGTTCTAGGATCTACATATGAGGTAGAACATACATCTATTTTTTTTCTGAGTATGTGTTACTTCACTTAGTATAACAGTTTCTAGTTCCATCCATTTACCTGCAAATTTCATGATTTCATTTTTCGTTACTGCTGAGTAAAACTCCATCCTATAAATGAACCACATTTTCATTCTCCACTCATCAGTTGAGGGACACTTAGGTTTCTTCCATCTCTTAGCTAATGTGAAAAGAGCAGCAACAAACATGGATGTACAAGTGTCTCTGCAATAGCATGAGTTCTTTGGGTATATGCCAAGGAGTGG